TTACTGTTCACCAAATAACCACCCTCACCTGTTGAATACTAATTTCATTAAGAGAGAAAAAATGTGATTCTCTTGAATTATTCTCAGTGAAGTGATTGTTCGTGAGGAAATTTTTCACCATGCGTTCTCGCTCAAATGAACGATTTAGATCAGGTTTTCGGTTCGTTTTGCTCTCCTCAAAACAACTATCCTTCCAATGAATTCGACTGATTCATTCGAATGAGATTCTCAATTTACTGTTGTAACATCTCAAATCGCTCATATTACTCCGTTGTTTCAGCAGTCCTGGCTGATGAAGTTTCTCTCAACTTCAAACTTCCTATGGATGATTGATTCAAAGAGGCCGCTTCTCCGAAGAAATTCTAGGCGGAATGCTGAGGAGGGCATTCATAAGTTGCACCAGTCGATGTGGACTATAGCAAACTTGCTCATACCTCTGGATCCTTCAGTGATCAAACATCCCACTCCGTAGATTCCAGTTGGATGAAACTGAATGAATTCCATATCCTCCAATGCGACTCCGGCTCGAGTGGCTATTGCCGTGCCATCGCCTGTATTCATGTGTGCCGTTGTACAACTGAAGTACGCACGTCCATAGCCACCGGTCGCGATAATCGTTCGTTTTGAGCTGAATGAACACGAATCAGCATTGAAACTCACTCGATGCACTGCTTCACAAACTACTTTCAGGTATCCTTCCAAAGCATCCTCAGGAAGATATGAACGTATGCAATGCACCAAAATGACGCCTTTCAACAATTTCTCTAATGTCATCTTATCATACGAAATCCTTATCTTGGCAGCAAACATCAGCGATGAATGTGAATAGTGAATAAGTGAAAGAACCAGAATCGATGAATTGTTCCATCTTCGAGACACATTGCGATCACACCGATACATCGGCCTTTGTCCATCAAAAGATCGAGCGCAAAATACTCAATAAAGAAATTGCAGTTACATCGCAGCGAATTGCCGTACAAAGTGTGCAACATTGAATGACCAGTACGGTCCGCGACAGCACACGTTCTGAAATTTTTGCCACTGTTCAAATTTTTTCGATAGAATTTGATATCATTTGCTTCGGGATCAGACTAAGTTTGGAACCTCACACGGGTGCCTTTCCGCTTTGCTGCACCAAAATCATTTGCACTGAAATACTCGATAAAAATTCGA